CTCTCTCAGTAATGGTGGGGCATTATCTCCCTTTGAAAGATGTACTGGTCACTTCAGAAAACAGTAATAAAAGCGAAACTTCAATGGCAACATGCATATGAATGAAGCTGTAGAAGGGAAGATGGATGATAAAAAAAACTCTGATATGTTGTTTATTAAATATATAATTATTTAATTAGATTTGGTTCTGAGGGCGGTAGAGTTTACTTAGTCATCTGATTAGTTGGAACATTTTTATAAATAAAGAAAAAATTTAAATGATTTAATTAAAACCATTCATTTTAATCCAAATCACATTAATGTTCAGAAATTGGTGTTTCCATGAATGGAACAAATGAATTTGTTTCAAGTTAACTGAAAATTATTTCAATTGAAACCCTTAGTATCTTTTCCATCCAACGTCTTATACCGTTCAGTAATTTTCTGTTGAAAACATGAACAGAGTGCAACGTAAAATGGTAACTTCTGCCAATGTAGGGAAAACCTAAAAGTCTGAGTTGATAAATTTGCTGATCTTCAATTATGCCCCAGAGAATATAGATAATATGGTCTTGGACTCATTGATGAGTGTTATTCCCAGATGACAGGATTATTATCAACATAATTCTGTATTTTAAGCAGACTTTTCTTAATGAGTCATAGAAAGGTTTTTTTTTTTAATTAGCAAAAATAGTTATTTCTGTTTGGGTATGAAAGGATAAAAAAAAGTACTTTTCAGACAGTAACACTGACTCCAATTTCTGTCTATGAGGAAGTAACAGAAGGTAGGTTTACTCTTCTGGTTCTAAGAGCTACAACACTGCACAAAATATATGAAGTGATGGTGTTCAAGCTACTAAATTTAAGGCAATGAAGTACAGAGATGCCTGAAAAATCAAAAATAAATGAAATGAAGTGAATTTGTTCTGGTTTAATGCTATGAGAGAAGCCACAGTGCAGGAAAGGGGACATAGGTTTAGGGGACACAGGTTCAGCCATAGGAATACGAATACTTTCAACCCTGAGGCACAGCTGAAACTGAGCAGCTCAAGTGTGCAGCACAGGGCATCAGAAAACAGAGCTGATCATCTAAATGAGCTCTGCAGAGCTAATGACTGTCCTTGCCTTGAGAATTTGTAGGTAATTTATGATCAGTGTTCTAATATGAGGAAACCACTCAAAGCTGGAGAAAGAACTACCTGTATTTTCACTATTAGTGGGAATAG